TTTATTGATTTATTATTTTATTTATTTATTTGTTGAGTCAGGGTCTTGCCATGTAGCCCAGGCTAGCCTTGAACTCATGATCTTCCTACTTCAGCCTCCTGAATGCTGGAATCATGGGTGTGTGCTTACATACCCAGTTTATATTTGTGAATATAATTGGGACCATATGGTACATGAATTTTTTGGCATCTACTCTTTTACATAATATGTTACAAATACTTTAGTATGATTTTAAAATATTCTTTGTAGTTTTTAGTGGTTGCATGTTAGTTCCATATGTATATTAATTTAACCTGTACTATTTTAAACACATGGGTTATTTCTTTCCTTTTTTTAAGTGGTATTGGGTTTGAACTCAGGACCTCATGTCCCTCTTGAGCCACTCTGCCAGCCCGGTGTTACTTCATTTTTAAATATATGCGTGGGTAGGCATGTATGAATCATCGTAGCATCTGTTCCTCCTTCCCTCCCTTTTTGGTTTGAACTCAGGGCTTCATGCTTTCAAAGCGGATGCTCTACTACTTGAGCCTCACCTCCAGTCTGGAATGTTTTTATTTATTTGTTTTTTGGTGGTACTGGGGTTTGAGCCTCATGCTTGCTAGGCAAACACTCTTACCATCTGAGCCACTCTACCGGCCCTTTTTTGTGTTGGGTATTTCGAGATAGGGTCTCAAGAACTATTTACCCAGGCTGGCTTCAAACCATGATCCTCCTGATTGCTGCTTCCTGAGTAGCTAGGATTATGGGTGTGAGCCACTGGTGCCCAGCTTGGAATTGTTTCTTAACTACTGTGCGATGAAGTCAATGTGTCAGAGGGTATGGCCCTTTTGAATTATGTTCTCATATTGCTTCCTAAAAGGTGCTGCCAACTTACACTCCAACTTGAGGTATTTGACAATGCCAGTTTCCCCTCTTCATCCCTACTCGAGCATTATTGGCAACACCAAAAGCAACAGCAAACCTGTGCTAATTTCGCAGGTGAACAGTGGTATCAGTTTCTTTATGAACACTAGTGAAATTGAGTAATTCATGTTTATTGGTCATTTATATTTTGTGAATTTTCTGTTTTGTCTTTATCTAAATTTTAGAGAATTGGAATTTTGATTTTTTTATTGATTTGTTTGGTGTTTATATAATAGGAATATGTCTGTATTGTAAGTGTGTTTCGCCATGTACCTTCTCTTTTTTTTTCTTTTCTGTGGGACTGGGAGGTTGAACTCAGGGCTCTGTGCTTGTAAAGCAAGCACTCTGCTGCTTGAGCCGCACCTCAGGCCTGCCTTACTCTGGTTATTTTGGAAGTGGAGTGTCACAGATTATTTGCCCAGGTGGTCCTAGAGCTTTCAGTCTCTCGACCTTGGCTTCCCAAGTAGTTAGGATTGCAGGTGCAAGCCACTGGTTCCCGGCTTCTGCCTTCTCGTTCCTTTGGTAATAGCTTTTGGCATTTAAAAGTTTTACTGGTGTTGGGGTTTGAACTCAGGGTTTCCTGCTTGCTAGGCAGGTACTCTTACTGCTTGAGCCACTCTACCAGCAAGGTCTCACTTCATAGTCCAGGCTGGCCTTTGAACTCTCAGTCCTCCTGCCTACGCTTCTTGAGTGCTGGGATTACAGGTGTGTGCCATCATGTCTGACTCTTTTGCTTTTATGATGTCGCAAAACCCCAAACAGGAGGCTTTAAGCTTAGTGCTCTCTGCACTGGTCAAAACAGATACCGATTATTGAATTCATTTTTGTTACTGTAAGATCACCACAGCCACCAATAATGGTGATAAAATAAGTATGATGGCTATCATAGCACTGGCACATGTGCATAAATAACAGGCTTAATTCACTGAATATTTACCATGTACTAAGTACTGCCATGCTTACACAGGTGATCTCATTCAATCCTTAGGGCAGTCTTCGAGTCCCGCTTTTACAAATGAGATTGAAGCGTGGAATTATTTGCCAGAGGTTAGACAAATGCTCAGTGGCAGAGCTAGGGACACTGATCTCTAGTCAACCTATCTGAAAGCCTGTGTTATGCCCAGAAAGAGCTCTCAAAGCTAGGTTATGTGAGGAATTATGGTTGTATCTTGGGAAAGGAGTAGTAGTAGGTGGGAATCATGACCTGGATTTGAATTCCAGTTTTACTGCTTGCTAGCTTGTGACCTTGAGAAAGTCACTGAACTTCTGTGAGTCCCAGTTTGCAGGTCATTGTACTAGTCTTTCTTCACAAGATTATTGTGAGCATTGAGTAAGACAATATAGTACAAAACACAGTGCCTTGGCCATGTTGCTACTCTGAAACTAGAATTTATTATGCCAGTCATCTTTGAAAGTCTGACATGTGGGAGGGGGTCAGTTGCATGAGAAGTCAGAGCTAGTATGGAGGGAAAGAAGTTGTAAGAGGGTAGATAAGCGTCCAGTAAAACTAAGAACTTTCTAACCATGTTCAGAAGTGCAGTGGACTGTCTTGTAAGATAATGAGTTTTCTGTCAGTGAGTTCCTTGTCAGGGAGGGATTGAATGAGTGAACATTTGTCAGGGATACTAAAAAGAAAATTCTGATTTGTTTGGGAATTTGGAGAATGTAAAATGCAGTTTTATCCTTGAAGATTCTATGATTCCATGTACATCTCAATAGCTCCCTTTAGTTGAGTTCAAGAAGACCTATCAGGCTTGGTCAAGCGTGTAATCTCAGCTACTCAGGAGGCAGAGATGGAAGATCATGGTTTGAGGTCAGCCTGGGCAAAAAGTTAGTCAGAGCCCCATCTTAACAAATAAGCCACGTGTGGTGGTACATATCTGTAATCACATATATGAGGGAAGAGGATAATGTCCAAGGCTGGCCCTGGGCAAAAACACAGAAAAATACTGAAGCAAAAAAATAACTGAAGCAAAAAAAGCCTGTGGGTGTGGCTCAAGTGGTCAAGCACTGCTTGGCAAGTAGTAGGCCCTTGAGTTAAAACCCCATTACTGCCAAAAGAAAAAGAAAAAAAGAACATATTTTGATTATTCACAATAAGAGAAGCTTCCTAGGGCCCACAGTCCTTGATTAGTGATAGGCAAGGTAGGGAGGCAGCCTGTGTTTTCACTCTGGATGTACAAGTAAAAATGTAAAAGAAATTTAGCTTTTAGCTTATGAGGAGCAGTTGTGTAGCTGGAAGTTTAATAAAAGGCTTGTAATAAAGAAATTAACCTTTGCAGGAAATAGTTACAGTTAACTCAGTATAGCGACAGATGTTTATGGAGCACACTTAACTGAGGACCGCTACATGTTTTGACATGTGTGCACTGTGTGTTAGGAATAGGAGTGTCAGTAGAGGCAGGCTCCTGAGATAGGTGCTCTTGGCTGGGTCCTGTGCCTGTCCTCAATGTAGTGTCCATACTCCCACAGGTAGCCGAGTTTGTGGATGAGCGTCCAGAAGAGGTAAAGCAGATGGAGGCCTTTCGTTCCAGCACCAAGTGGAAGCTTCTGGGAGGTGAGTTCCAACATTAGATAAATATGAATTTCCTGTTTACGGGGTAGGCCTTTTGTGCACTTTTCTTTTAGAGGAATGCAGTTTTAGGGTGTCATTGATCCTGAAAAATATAATGGGAAAGAGAATTCTTTACTTCTGCAGAAGTAGTAAGATATGGTAAGTTAGAGACCAGGTGCCCCTGTTGTTCCTATATTTTGGTATCAGGGTTATTGAAAACAGAATGTGACTCATTTGTAGCCTTTCAGCACACTGTCCTTTCTGGTCCAGAATAGGAGAGCACTTGGTGTATAAGTAGGACGTTGAGAGGGGTTGATAAGAAACATAGGAATAACTTGGAGACTTTGGTCACCTCTATCCTTTTCAGGGAGCAGTGTTTTTGTCCTTTGGATTTGTGAGTAAATTTCCCTAGTCTCTCCTTAAATATTGGCATTTTGTATTGCATTATTCTCTACTTGTCCACTCTAGAGCGTCTCACTAATAATTTAACTCTTTATTTAAAAACATATTTTGAGTCCTTGAGAATTGGATAAAAGGTATTTATTGGTCATGTCTGTCTGGACAGAGGCTCTTTTTTTAAAGAGAGAAAGTTTGTTTTGGTTCACAAAGGGCAGAGGCATCTTATGTTCCGTGTTATTTCCCTTGCTTAGCACGAGGAGGTGCCCTTGATATGTTTGTTGAATTGTTGAATTGCTAATAGGCATTTGGTTCTTGTAGCCTCCTTCTCTTTGGTAAGTCATCTCTGAGGCTTAGCAGTCATTCCCCCCTTTCCAAGAACTTGACAGAGTGATCTCCTTACTAAGGGACACAGACTAGAGAGATGCAGTCCTGATTCCAGCAGTCAAGTGGGGCTCTGTGGCCAGTGGAAGTGTGGCTTTCTTTTTAATCCTCATCTTCATTCTTTTATAAACAAGGGTCTTACTTCTTGAAAGCTGTTTAACTCCAGCTTATACCTGTTGTTATTCCTCTTTCACACATGGAGGATGAAAGACTAAGTTCCTAAGCAGAATTTGTCTTCCTTTTATACTCTGTGCCATTAGATTTATTATCCTGCAGTTCTGGTTTAAAAAAATAAAACCAAAAAACATTATAAATGTGATCACCATTGCCCCAGTTAATTTTCGGTGCATCACCTTATTCTTTAGCTGGATGAATGAAAACTTCATCCTCAGGATTATTTTATCAGAATCCTTTTTAGTCTTATCTATTATTTTGTGTCTTATCTTATAGTTTTATTTCCAGTCTTTTCCATAATCCTTTTTCTGGAGAGAATCTTCTGATCTCCTTATCTAAAGATCCAGGCAGTCACACATACACACAAACGCACAGTCTTTTTCTTCTGCCTCATTCTCACTATCCCTTCCCAATTTGTTATTTGAAATATCCTCACTGATTTCTACTCTCACTCCCTTTTAATAATTATTATGGAGCTTATCAATCTCATGGATTTATTTTGATGTATACAGGTTTAGTTGTTTTGCCTTTTGAGTACAAACTAAATTATCTAGGACAATTACCAGGAGGAACCAGACTTTGAACCATCTACAAATGAGGTTTTAGAAAGAAAGTGGGTTGGGAATCAGGAAAATAACAATTGTAGCCTGTCTTTTCATCTTAGTAGCTGTGATCTTAGGTAAGAAATCACTTAGCTTCTCAGAGTCTTTGTTTTCATGTCTGTAAAACAAGGGTCCCTGACCTGCTTGTCTTACAGGATATCCTATGAAAAATGTGTTTAATATGCTTTGCAAATTGATGCTGGAGCTTTTGAAATGGGTGTGAAGGGTGGACAGAACATTAGTTGGATTCTGATTGTTTTCTTTTGTTTTTAGGACACAATGAAGATCTATTGTCACATAGACATTTCCGTCACAACACCCCAGATTCATCTCCTAAGGGGGTCCGCCATGACACTCCGGATCCTTCTCCTCCTAGGAGGGTCCGCCATGACACCCCGGATCCTTCTCCTCCTAGGAGGGTCCGCCATGACACCCCGGAACCTTCTCCTCCTAGGAGGGTCCGTCATGACACCCCAGATCCTTCTCCTCCTAAGAGGGTCTGCCAGGATACCCCAGAAACTTCTCCTCCTAGGAGGGTCCGTCATGACACCCCAGATCCTTCCCCCCAGGAAGCCTCATCGTAATTCTTCAGGTGTATCTCCTAAGAGAGTCCATCCTGATTCCTCAGGTATCTGTTCCTCCAGAAGGGCCCACAGTAATTCCCCTGACACATCCCAACCTAGAAGGACTCTTGACTCCTCAGACACATGGCATCTCAGGAGGGCCCATAATGACTCTCCCAATTTGGCACCTAGTGTCACTCATTCACTGTCCAGAACCAAAAGTAGTAAGGCCCCAGAAAGAGCCTCCAGCAAGACTTCTCCACAGCGGAAGGGGCTGGGACCCTCTCATTCCTCACTCTCAAAGAACAGCAAACATGAGTATGACTCGGACCTTTCTCCTGCACGAGAAAAGCAAGCAAAATCCCATTTTGGAGATAAGAAGCCACTTGATTCTAAAGGTGAGTATGTGACTGTCCATGGAGGGACTTGATTCCTGGGAGCTTGTTTTTGGACCTTTACTTGCTTAATTAGGTATGAGAATGAATTTCTTTGGAAAAATTTTGAAAAATGAGAAGCTGAGCTTAGGAGAGTTGAAAACTTACTGTTGTAGAGAAGAAACTTTTTTTTTTCCTGGTGGCACTTCACACTTGCTAGGCAGGCACTCTACCACTTGAGCCACTTGCCAGTCCCTTTTTGTGTTGGGTGTTTTTGAGATAGGGTCTTGTGAACTATTTGCATGGGGCTTCGAACCTCTATCCTCTTGATTTCTCCTGAGTAGCTAGGATTACGGGCATGAGCCACTGGTGCCCCCTGAGAGAGGAAAGTTTTTATATGTCCTTTTATTTTCTCTCTTCATCCACATAAAAGTACATATTTGTTACAGAAACTTTAGAATATATAGAAATGTGTTATAGAAGCAGAAAAATGTGACAAAATTCTGTCATTCAGAGGCTGTCATTGTTGAGGTGCAACCAATGTCCTTTGGGTCTTTTTTGGTACGCATTTTTGATGTAGTTGGGCCTGGCCATGCAGAACATGCTTGTTGCATGTGTTATCTTGCCTGCTGTCTTTGCTTAACATGATTTTCCTCAGATCTGCAGACATTTCTTTGTTCATAAAATTTTTAATGGTGTTATATAATTTACTTAACTATTCTCTAATGCTAGTTTTCTATTTTAAGGTTTTGAACTCAGGACCTCATGCTTGTTAAGCAGGTGTTCTACCACTTGAGCCACTCTGCATGCTCTATTTTGTGTGGAGTATTTTTCGAGATAGGGTTACAGGCATGAGCCACCAGCATCTGGCTGCTTTTATAATTCTCTGACAAAATTTGTAAACATAAACTCTTACCCATTTTGAGATCAGTAGATCTCTAGAAATTTAATTACTTTTAGATCAGTTTCCTGGAAAGCTAAGAAGTTTATTTACTAGATCAGAAGGTGTGGATGTTTCAAAGACTGTTGGTACATAGTGCAGATTGCTTTTAGGGATGTGAGCTGTGATTCTTTTATCTAGAAAATTGGCCTATGCCATGAAATTTTTTTTACTCCCATCTTTTGTTCTTAGGTAGTATTTTAATTTTAAAATTAAAATATTTTGCTATTCTATAATCTGAGCTCATCAGATTATAGGTGTTTCTGGCTTTTACCGCACCATAGAAGCCTGATTCCAAGTTGTTTTGCCCATTCTGGTAGACAGAGCAGGGGTTGTAGTGCTAGCATAGAGGAGTCTGTTGGGTTCTCGTATACTTGTTTCAGTCGTTAGTTACCAGTTACTTGGGAATAGAACCCCATGTCCTGTTGGTTTAAGAGTTGAGTTGTCTTTTTTTCTGTCATCTATACTTTTGTTTAATAATAGTTCTTTACAGGAGCACTAAAGAGATATTGTACCCTAGCTTGGTAAATTCTTTTTAAAGATTCTTCCAAGGGGATTAATTAATTATTATTTTTTGGTAGTGCTGGGAATCAAATCCACGGTCTATCACTATACCACTGAGCTATGTCCTTAGTCCTAATTCTTTAATTTCTAGATTCTTCTTCTAGCCCTAGGAAATTGCATACAAGCACCTCATCGAGAGTCACATTTTGAACTCTTCTTCCTACCCAGGTGACTGCCAGAAAGCCTCTGATTCAGATCTTTCTCCTCCACGGCATAAACAAAAGTCAAGGCACCAGGATTCTGATTCAGATCTGTCGCCTCCACGGAATAGACCAAGACAACAAAACTCTGATTCTGACCTCTCACCACCAAGGAGGAAACAGAGGACCAAATCTTCTGATTCTGATCTGTCTCCACCTCGAAGGAGTCGGCCTCCTGGAAAGAAGGTAGGGATTTCCAGGAGCCATAGCTTCTCATATCTTCTCTCTCTTTTTTTTTTTTTGGTGATACTGAAAATTAAACCCAGGGCCTCACACATACTAAAGCCTTGTCTTCTCTTAGAGTGAATCCTCCCTTTTAGCTTTATACAAGTCCCAGAGAAGCAAGCCACAGGAGGAAAAGGAGATAGTGCAATTAATCTGAGTACACCTTGAGCCACTCCACCAGCCCTTTTTTGTGATGTTTTTTTTCAAGAGAGGCCTCTTGAGCTATTTTGCCCAGACTGGCTTTGAACCATGATCCTCCTGATTCTGCCTCCTGAGTAGCTAGGATTACAGGCGTGAGCCATTGGCATCTGGCTTCAGAAATACTTGTTGAACACCAACATGATGCTCAAAAATGTTTCAAATTTTGAAGCATGTGGATTTCAGGTTTTTGGATTAAGGATGCTCCACCTATACCAGATTTCCTGAGGCTTCTGCCTTTATAGCCTCAAAATTCTATACATCTCATTTAATAAGACCAGCAAAACTTGCTTTTTAAAGAACAACTTGAGGACTGTAGTTGGCAGAGTGGAAATTAGGAGCACAAACCTGTGTCCAGCTGATCACAGATTTGACTCCTACTTCTGCTACTTTCTGTGAGATTTGGACAAGACCTTGGCTTCTTCACCTGGAAAATGAGAATCATAGTGGCATCTACTTTATAAGGTTATTGTGAAGTTTAATTGATTAGTGTAAGTAAAATTTGTAGCATAGTGCCTGGACAAATTAAGCATTTGGTACTGGTGATTTATTATAAACTGAACTACAACTCTGTATTCATCCAAGCTTAAAAAGTAAGGGCTGGTGGAGTGGCTCAAGTGGTTAAGAGTACCTGCCTAGCAAACATGAGGCCATGAGTTCAAACCCCAGTGCCACCAAAAGGAGGCACTTAAAATCTAAGACTCCTTTTACAAATCATACTGTCTGGGAAGTCAGTGTTTTGTTGTGTTTCAAATCTATATAAAGAAGAACCCACACGAATCCTGAGTAATTATGTGGTAAAGAACACTAGAAGTAGTAAAGGAATCTTGCTGGTAATTTGGTTGAGAGACAGAGTGATGCCTATGGTGTGCATGTTTCCCTCCAAGGCAGTCTTCTCAAGTAAGTCTTCCCTGTAGAAGATTCTGAGAGATTAGCCCAACCAGTCCCTAACTTTTTGGAGGAACAAACAAAGTATCTATATTAACTGGACTCCTTGATATTTTTGTATCCATTTAACCCATGGACAATGTAATATTAATTAAATCTAGTTGCATTAGGATGATGTCAGGATATATTATGTGCTCCATTTGTGGGTTGGGGTTTGCTGTCTTGATACACTGTGGAGGTTAGTAGAAAGTTTTCATTTGGTTATATCTCCTATTATTATTATTAGTATATATCCACAGTTAGGTTTGCTTGAGTTTGTGCTTTAAATGGAGTATTTCATCAATGTTTCTTTTGGATAGCTCAGAGCTTGATGCAGGTTTCTCATCAGATGGTCTGAGAGTGAGCCTTCATGTGTGCAGCTTATGTACTGAAAAGTCAGAAATACACATTCCTAGCCCTCTTTGTAATATTTTGTTGGTTTGTGTTTACATTTTTTTTCCTATACTAGAGTTTGAACTCACGGCTTCAAGCTTGCTAGGCAGGTGCTCCACCACTTGAGTCACGCCTCCAATCCCATCTGCTTTTTTCAGCTGTGATGCTACTGTTAAATTTTCCATGAAATTTAGACTAGTTTTTCTTTTTTATGTTGTGAATCTTGTGGACAGTAATGGGAACATAAAGCTTGTGTTTTGAGTTTGGTTATTGCTGATCATCAGACAAAAATGCAGCTAACTGTGTAGACCTATGGAGCTGATGCATTGTCTTTGATGTTGGATTCTCCCTTTTCATTGCACAGGCTACACACATGTATTCTGGTGCTAAAGCTGGGTTGGTGTTAACAGACATACAGCAAGAGCATCAGGAGCTCAAGAATCGGGACCAAGAAGCCATGGCATTTGAAGGTAAAAATGTCAAAGTGCAGAAGCCAGTCCAGGCTCATGTAGCTTTTCTTCTTTTCTTTTTAAAAATATACCCTACTGTACCTTCTAGTTTTGGTTGCAGTCACATTTCAGCTCTATGGTTCTGTTTTTGTTTTGGTGGTACTAGGGTTTGAATTTGGGGCCTTATGAGTGCTAAACAGGTGCTCTGCTGCTTGAAGTATACCTCTGGCCCTTTCTTGTTTGATTATTTTTGAGATAGGGTCTCATGTTTTTGTCAGGACTAGCCTGGACCATGAGCCTCCTACTCATGCTTTTCTCATAGCTGGGATTACAGGCAGGTACACTGTACCCAGATTTTTGTTGTTGTTGAGGTGGGGGTCTCACTAACTTTGTGCCTGGATTAGCCTTGAACCTTGATCTTCCCAGTCTCCTCTTTCCAAATAGCTGGGATTATAGTTGTGAATCACTGTAGCTGTCCCACACAATTTGTCTAGGAGTTTTGGTTCAACTCAATAGGGATTTGTATGTAGAATTTTTTTCCCCATTGCCACCCAGCTTTCTTACATGGGAAGCTTTCTTTTCTTTTTTTTTTTTTTTTTTTATAAATGAATCATTTTAACCTCTGAATAGTTAAAGTGGTTCTTGCCTTCTCAAAATTGTCAGTTCTCAGGCCTTTCCTTGATAGGCATCTAGATGTTGGTAGGAGCTACTTTGTGGTTTGGTTGCAAAAGTTTTACCTAGCATCAAAATTTCAAGCAGTTGATTTCATCAGGTAGAATATTGTTTCTGATTTTGATATTTGCTATTTATGTTAAAAATTATAGTTTTCCTTTGCAGCTGAATCTCAGTTCGCTGAAACTGTATTTCGAGACAAGTCTGGTCGTAAGAGGAATTTAAAACTGGAACGTTTAGAGCAAAGGAGAAAAGCAGAAAAGGACTCAGCACGAGATGAGCTGTATGCCCAGTGGGGTAAAGGGTAAGGGAACTGCTGGAAAGGAAAACAAGGCTGCAGGGACTGGAGCATGTTGTTTCTCTGCTTTTAATGCTGTCATCGGGAATGGACATTGAGCTTGCTGAACCTTCTTAGAAGATATATATTCTATACTTCAGTTGGTATTCTGGGAATTTTGCCCCTTTTAAATTTGGCCTAGAAATATTTTGGCTTACAAAGAGGTAGTTCTCCAAATGTGGCACTGTGGTCCATGTCAGGGTAGGAATGGAAACATCAAACAGGATGGTTCTTTTTTTACTCAGGCTTGCCCAGAGCCGGCAACAGCAACAAAATGTGGAAGATGCAATGAAGGAGATGCAAAAGCCTCTGGCTCGCTATATTGATGATGAAGATCTGGACCGGATGCTGCGAGAACAAGAAAGAGAGGGAGACCCCATGGCCAGCTTCATCAAGAAGAATAAGGCCAAGGAGGACAAGAATAAGAAAGGTGAGATGTCTGGAAATGATCATAGTGGAGAGAGAGTATGAGGTTATGCATAGCTCTGTGCAAAGAACACAATGTAAACTTCTTTGTATTTGTCTGGGAGTTTTGGTTTGACTCAATAGGAATATCTGTGTAGAAGTTTTTTCCCCATTGCCATACAGCTCTGAATTAAAGTTACACAGGTAGCTAAATTTTTTTGGAGGTACTGGGATTTGAACTCAGGTCCTTACGCTTGCTGGGAAGGCACTTTACCACTTGAGGCATTCCCCCAGCCCCTAACTTCTTTTTTTTTGTTTCTTTCATTAGTGAGGCCTCGCTACAATGGCCCAGCACCTCCTCCCAACAGATTCAATATCTGGCCTGGATATCGCTGGGATGGAGTGGACAGGTAATTCTATTTCCTACATTTTTGTTTTCTTCCTAAGCCTGATCTTCCCTACCACTGTTAGTTAAATCGTTATACACTCATTTTCTTTCTGCTGTACCTACAAGGCAAATAATATATGCTTTGCTTGTTTCTCTGTCTGAGGTCAACAGATCTATTTCTCACATTTGGAACATTTTTCCTCCCTGCTGTTTCCTTTTCAAAATACTTTTAAAAGGCCTGAACGAACAACTGAAGTGATCCAGACAGGACGTCCTTTGTTTTGGACATCAGTCACTTTTAATATCTTCTGAGGTTTAGTGGTATGAATGATAAACTGTGGTCTGGAGTCCTCTATATGTGTGTTGTATCTTTCAAGTGCACTGCTTAAACATCAGTTATATTCACTGTCTTAGGTGTAAGTCCCTGCTAATGTCGCCACTCTCACCACCTCATCTGCTCACCTGCCAGTGCCTGCACCCGCATACCCTTAACTTCCTGCCTATTAAGATGGACCAACTATATTTGTTCCTGTTCTTAAAGTTAGCTCTTCTACTCATGTAGCAGATCCATCTCCTCTTGCCTGCTAAAGAACATTATTCTAAGCTGTGAGGGTTGCATATGCCTGTAATCCGAGCTACTAGAGAGGCAGAGGCAGGATGACTGAGAATTCAAGGCCAACCTCGTATAAAATAATAACAGAGGGGCTGGGAGCATAGCTCTAGCGGTAGAGTACTTAACTACCCGGATGTGAGACCCTGGATTCTATCCCCAGTACTGCAGAAAAACGAGTAAACAAAAAACATTCTAACATCTAGTCTCAGGGCCCCTTTATACTCTTAAAAATTGAGGACCCCAGAAGCTTTTGTTTATGTGGTTTATATCTGTTGGAATTTATTGTACTTAAAATTAAAACTGAAATTTTTTTTTTTTTTTTTTTTGTGGCACTGGGGCTTGAACTCAGGGCCTACACCTCGAGCCACACAGCCACCAGGTATTTTCAAGGTAGGGTCTCACGAATTATTTGTGCAGGCTGGCTTTGAATCGCAGTCCTGAATCACAATCCTCCTGATCTCTGCCTCCTGAGTAGCTAGGATTACAGGTGTGAGCCACCAGTGCCCAGCCAAAACTAAAAATATTTTAAAAGTATTTATCAATTCACTATATAAAGTAAGCTATTACACGTTAATATGGTTACTGTTTTTTTTTAAATGAAAAACTAGCTATTTTTCTAAAAATAATAGGATAGCATTGATTGACATTTTTGCAAATCTCATAAATGTCTGCTTGATAGTTGACAACTAGACTCTATTCATCTGTTGTGAAATGTTTAATTGAAGTACAGGAAGAAAATCCAGCCTCATGCATAAGTAGCAGAAAAGGAAGGTGTATTGTAAGGAACACATGCAGGCTAGTTCCTTACAGGTTAGTTATATGGAATCTGAAGCCATTTCAAAGAAATGTATTTTGTGTTTTTCACCTATGAATGATTTTATAGTATTGTGAATTGGTCATTTGATCAATTGTTTTCCTTGTAGTAAAGCTCACTTTGTCAAATATCTTGTTTGTAGATCACATCAGATTTTATATCTAGAAGCTAACGCCAGCTTCACATTTACACTACTTTATTTCCTTTCCATTCCAGATACATTTTTCTTTGTTTTCTGCCCTGTTGCATTAGTTAGCACTTCCAGTTAACATGTTGACTAGAAGTAGTAAGAGCACACATCTTTGCCTTGTTTCTAATCTTTGGGGGAAAACATTCAGCCTTTTACCATTAAATATATTATAAGCTACAGGTTTTTCATAGGTACTCTGTATCAAGTTGAGAACATTTCCTTTTCTTCCTAGTTTCTGAGAATTCTTTTTGGAAATGCTGAAATTTGTTCAAAATACTTTTTTAATTCTTTTGATTTATCTTTTGATCCATGGGTTATTTGGGAGTAGGTTGTTTAATTCCAAATATTTGGATTTTTGTGGAAGTCTTACTGCTATTTATTTCTAATTTAATTCTGTTTTGTAATTATCTTCCTCTTTTTTTGGTGTTGTGTAGGATTGAATTTAGGGCATCATGTTTGTTTGGTAATCACCCTACATGTAAGCTGTATCCCTAGTCCTTATCTTCCTCTTCTATGTGTAGGATTCCTTTATGTATCTGCTACAGTTTTGATTTACAGGTCATGAATTCATTTAGTTATTGTTTATTATGGGAGGTTTTTATGTCTCCTTTAATTATGAATGATAGCTTTGCTGGATATAGTTATCTAGGTTGGTCGTTACTTTCTTTCAGAGCTTGAAATAAATCATTCCATGTCCTCCTTGCATTTAGAGTTTCTGATGAGTTTGCCTTTATATGTGACTTGGAACATTGCAGCTTTCAATGTTCTTCCCCTGTTCTGTATACTTAATGTTTTATGTATAATATGCCTTGGGGAGGTTCTTTTCTGCTCGGTGTCCTAAAAACTTCCTGTGCCTGGAAAACCATTCCTTTCTCAACATTTGGGAAATTTTCTGCTATTATTTTATTGAATATGTTTTTTATGCCTATAGCCTCCACTTCTTCTGTGCCTATGATTTGTAGGTTTGGTTTCTTAATGGTGTCTCAGAAGTCTTTTTTCTTAATCTTTATCTGAATGCTCTGATTCATCTAGCTACCTTGTCTTTAGTCCCTGATATTTTGTCTTCATTGTGATCCAGTCTATTGGTGAAGTCAATTGAGGTTTTTATTTGACTTTTGAGCTCTTCATTTCCAGAATTTCAATTTGATTTTTTCAGGATTTCTATATCTTTGTTGAATTCCTCATTCATATCCTGATGGTCTTCCTTATTTTGTTCACCTGTTTATTTGTATTCTCTCTGAATTCATTTAGGTATTTATTCATGTCCTCTTTAATTTCATTGTTTTTTTTTTTTTTTCAGTTATGGGGGTTTGAACTCAGGGTTTGTGCATTTGCTAGGCAGGCACTGTACTGCTTGAACTAAGTTTCCAGCCATTCTTATAATCATTCTTTTGAATTCTTTGTATGGGACTTGATCTATTTCACTTTCACTAGTGTCTGTTAGTGTAAAGCCTTTGACTTTTAGAGGAGTCATATTGCATTGTCTTTTTATATTTCTTGTGTTTCTGTATTAGGATTTGCACATCTGAGGCCAGGACATTGGTTGGAAGTTTTAATCACCTGTAGTCTTTCAGTTGAAATATTCTCAGTGTTTAGGCAGGACTGTGTCGTAGCAGGATTGAGGTGCAGTTTCTTACCACTGGACTGGGGGTACAGCTCAGTAGGCCAACATACATCTACATGGTCAGGGCTCCAGGCCTGATCTGTAGCGCCACTAAGATAGAGGGAAACTAGCTGGAGTCTCTTGCAGTTCCTAGTATATAGGTTGTCAGTCAAGGGTCAGTTGGCTGCTTTAACTTTAGAAGCTTACCTTCTTTGTATACAAGGAGCTTGTGGGCCTGGTAGGTTCCCACTTGCTCCACAAGCCCCCAAGTTTATGTCCTCAGGGGCAGCAAAAATTCAAGCCTAGGAGTGTCCCCTGAACGTGTTAAGAGTGTGGGAAGAAAACAGAGCATTGAATTCTGTACTGGTAGGGAAGAACTGGGGATCTTGGGCATGGCTGGCAGATTGCCCAGCAGATCATCATCTTGTGGGAGGAAGGAGGCTGGGGGAAATTGTGTGAGCGAGAGTCCTGGGCTCAGAGCTTTCAGTTCCATACAGTAAACATACACAGCCAGGAGCAGGTCCTGGAGGCCAGTCTCAGTGTTTTCACAGCCTGCCTGGCTGTTCCTCAGTGGTGGGGAGGGGTATGTGTGGAGGGATAGGGAAGCTGGGGAAATCATGTGATTCACCACTCATGGGTTCAGAGTTCCCAGTTCTGCCTGGCAGAAGACGTACACAGCCAGAAGGTTGTGTCCCTGAAGCTGAGCCCTCTGCTAGCCATGAGTTTGGTGCTCTGTTTCCACAATAATGGGACTCACTTCATACCAGGAAGTGGAGGGCTGTTATCTATGGTGCCCTTCACTGCCCAAGCTTCCTATTTTCAAACTTGTCAGCAGGCCAGCATCAAACTTTCTCTCTGTGGCCACCTTCATGGCCTTGTCCCACCCAGACACTGAGGCAGAGTGTCCTAAGTCTCCTTGGGCTGGTGATTGTTCCTTATTTTCAAGTCTCTGGAATAGCTCAGTCTCAAGCAATAGGCTCCCTCTCAAGATGGTGCCTTGCTATATAGCACTCCGAGGTAAGGAGAGTGACAAAATACCTTTCTTCTTTGAAGCCAACCTGCCATGTAGGAGCAGTCTGTGAAACACCAAATCCCCACACTGACTTCAAACTGCAATCCTCCTGATCTCTGCCTCCTGAAAAACTAGGATTACAGGCGTGAGCCACTGGCGCCTAACTGGGTTTATCCTTTTGCAATTCCCTCCCTTCCGGGATTTCCCCCTCTAATTTTCTTGAGCCCATGACCTTGGTGGGCTATTTTGATTTTAATAGGGGCTTAAAGAAAAAAAAGTTAAGAGTTGTTAAGTTTACTTACAATATATTTTTTCTTAAAGACATTGAAGGATCTTGCATTTTATGGTTCCTTTTCATATTCCCATCACTTATGGCTAACTGCTTTCTGTCTAATTGCTCATTCTTTCATCAACTTTTCTTAGTTTTGTCTCCTTTTTTTTTTTTAGTGGGACTAGGTCTGGGGTTTGAACTCAGGGCTCCACACTTGCAAAGCAGGTGCTCTACTGCTTGAGCCACACCTCTTCTTTAGTTCTGGTTTTGCCTCCTTTTAATTCACTGCAAGGGAATCCTTCCAGAACGTATTTATAGTATGTTGCAGTTGGGAAGCTCCATATAATCAGTTAATCTAAGATGAGGCATGGCTCAAGGTAGAGCACCTGCCTAGCAAATACAAGACCCCAAGTTCTTCAAGGAAAAAAAAAAAAATCAATCTAGCCCTTATTACTTAAAAGACAAGTTGAAGACTAGATAAATAATCAGTTTACCTAGAGTCATGAGGCTCACTACGTAAAGCTGGAATTAGGTGGGTACCAGTGGCTCACACCTGGAGTCCTAGCTACTCAGGAAGTAGCGTTCTAAGCCAACCTGGGCAAATAGTTCAGGAGACCCTATCTTGAAAATACCCAACACAAAAAACAGGGAGCTGGCGGAGTGACTCAAATAGTAGAGTGCCTGCCTAGCAAGTGTGAAGCCCTGAGTTCAATCCCAGTACCACCAGGATAACTAACTAACTAAAGCTGGAATTGGAACCGTGGACTCTTTAGTTCTAAGCTCTTTCCACTGTGAATTCCACAATTTGTTTTTTGGTTCTGCTTAGGATTTGGTTTGTTATTCATATGTCCTTCCCACGATCATATTATTGTTGGTTCTTTTAAGTACTAATTTCCCAAGGCAAAAAAATCCCCTGATTCCCTGTTGCTAGGGGGGGAAATGCCCATGCACTTTTTTGGGGGTTGGGAGATGGTACTGGGGTTTGAACTCAGAGTTTTGCACTTGTTAGGGCAGTGTATTACCACTTGAGCAACACCCCTAGCCCACATGTGTGTTTTTAAGGTTGGAGATAGTGCCATTCATAATAACCTTCCCTTCTTCCCAGGCACTTCCATTACTTACCCCACTCATCCCTTAGCGAAGGTGTTAGCATACTTGCGTTCAGCCTTGAGAAAATGCTTCCTAGATTTGCTGAATCTCATGGATATCACTATCCAGCCAAGATAGAAGGAAAGGAAGGATATTAAAGGAAGAGGATCTTATATATGCTGTCGTAAGGATACCATGGTGTTACAGGGTGGGGCACAGTCATAAGCAGTTTGTTGTTGAATAGTATAAGTGTGAAACAGTTATATGAGATGAACTAGAGATGTAGGCAGGGACCTACTCACACAATGCCTTGGAAGCCTTTCTGAGGAGCATGGTCCATACCCTAGAGGCATGGGGAGCTGTTGAAGGATTAAAATCAGTTGTATTTTATTTATTTTTTGGTGGTACTGGGATTTAAACTCAGGACTTTATGCTTGTTCAGCAGATGCTCTACCACTTGAACCACACCCCTAACCATTTCTTCATTTTAGATAGACAAATCATTATGGCAGTAACGTGGAATATTTTAAAGTCACTAGTTTGGAAGCAGACCAAATACAAGGCTGTTGCAGTAGCTCAGGCAAGCCATAATCAAGATCATGCATTCAGAGTAGGGAAGGGAAAGGAGTAGGGAAGTGGTTAGAAGATAAAACTCTCATGACCTGGTGACCAATTTGGGGAAAAGGAAGAAGGATTTGTTGGATTTGCCAACAAGGAATGTCATTGATGACCTGAATGAGAGCTAGCTCCATGGCATAGCAAAACAAAAGCCAGGTTCTAATGTCTTAATGGATGAATGAAAAGTGAGAAAATTGAGACAGTGAATACAGGCTTTTTCAAGAAGTTTAGATGCTGGGCTTGGTGTTGTACACCTGTAATACTAGTACTTGGGAGGCTGAGGCAAGGGGATCACGAGTTCTAGACCAGCCTGGGCTACATAGTGAGACTTTATACAAAACAAAACAAAAAATTTAGATAAGGTGTTGGAGGTGTAGCTCAGTGGTAGAAAATCTGCTTAGCATGCATGAGGTCCTGGGTTTGATTCCCAGCACCAAAAAAAGAAAAAAAAGGAGTTTAGAGGAGACAGAATACATATAACTACTAGGAATTATTCGAGGTTCACTTGCTGCCTCCTTGAAACTTGCTCTAAATTGGCTTCCATGACATCCTACTTGTAGTTCTTTTATCTTTTATTCTTGGCTACCTTTGTGAGCCTCTCCTCTGTCACCCCTTAAATGTTTCTCAGGACTCTCTATCCTAGCTACTCTCATTCCATCTGCTCTCTTGGCTAAATCTTACCTAGTCAGACCTTCAACCACTGTCTCTGTGAACATGACTCCAAATCTGCACTTCCAGCTCAGGCAAGGTTTTTTGGTGCACGGTAGATTCCTTTGTTGATGTGCACTTGAGGTACCTCAAATGTAGCATAGTCTGAACTGCGCTCCTCCCCTCCTCTTATGCTCTCTTTCATCTGATCACTCAAATTATTAATTGGTGAGGCAAATTTACCTCTTCCTTCTTTGTCCTTCTGTACCTAATCAGCTGCTGAGTCTTACTGATTTTGCCTTCCATGTTGCTACCACTGTTTATCATTGTGTTCCTCGTCTATCTCTTGGGCCACTGTGGTGACTGTTGTGCCTCGGACCTCCACAGTGATCTCTTTGAAATGTAATTTATGCCCTGCTTTAAGCCCATCTTCTCTAGATGAAATCTTTTTACTGTGTCCTACAAAGTTAATTATGATTGGCCTCTCTGGCTGTCTTTCCAGCTTTGACTCATGGCCACTCCCTTTGTCATATTTAGGCTCCAGCCATTCCAGTTTGTTTTGGGTTCCTGCACATACCAGGGTTGTTCTTTCTATGCCTCTGTTCTTGTTCATGGTCTGCTCTGTCCTGAAATGATCTTCTGACACTACTATCTCTGCCCTTTATCTCCAGCCTTTTGGTTAAATTATTCTCTTTTCAGGCGGCTTAGCTTAGGGACCACTCCTATGAAGATTCTCTTAATCATTCTTGTCCATCCCTCATGTTGCCTTTTTATCATACCTCCCCAAGCTGAGTGAGGTCCCTATTCAGTTTCTTTGGTATCCCATGCATTTTAAACCATGGTTTATAGTATTTGTTTATTTTGCAGTGCTGGGGATTGAATACAAAGCCTTGTCAATGTATGTGCTAGGCAGGTGCTTTACCACTGAGCTACAACCCCATCCCAGTACGTTTATTTTAATTATTGTTTACATGTCTGTTTCCCTCCACTAGTCTTGTGAGTTCATCAAGATAGGTGCTGTGTCACTCATTTTCATGCAGTTGTCTACCCCAGTGCATCTGAGAATTCAATAATGCTTGTTTAATGAATGGATAAATTATAAGATGTGAATGTTAGCTAAGAGCCAGTTGGGCCTTTTTTGAAAGTGGTGAAGGTTTGAAATAGTTGTCAAAGACTGGGAGAAGGGTCTGAACAAGAACTAAAAAGAGGATAAATTGTGTATTTTGTTTCTTTGATTCTATTGCATATGCCTTAAATATTTTCACGTAACTGCCTTACTTTCCTCCTTATTCACTATATTGTGAACTGTTCTCTTTCTTTTAAAATAAATGCCCAGTTCAAGGTTCTGGCTGATTAGCATGTCTCTTTTGATTACAGATCCAATGGATTTGAACAGAAGCGTTTTGCCAGGCTTGCCAGCAAGAAGGCAGTGGAGGAACTTGCCTACAAATGGAGTGTTGAGGACATGTAACTTCTCTAAGGCTATGTGGGTGACTGTGTGTTGTGGTAGTGGCATAGGACAGGTAGACATCCAGCTCTAGAGTTGTCTGTGCTAATAATCAGGGCCCATACAGACCAGAAACTTGCTGAATGTGTTTTGACACAGAAGAATGTCAGAGACCTGACCTTTGGACTAAGGCGCCAAAGTGTGCCAACACTGTCCATGGGTGGCTTTCACAGGAAGCCGTGATTTCTATGTTATGAGGGTTTGTTCTTGGCTAGGATTTTTGTTTTTCTTTTTAAATAAACATATTTATTTTCCTAAAAGCATTTCCTAACTTGGTATTGTTTGGGGAAGAATTTCAGCTAATATTGAGCTCCTGGGGATCTTGGGAATGATCAATGTTTGTTTTTTTTATTAATCTAGCAAGCAGTGGGAGTATAAGCTTTCTCAGTGGTAGATATTTCTTCTGAGAAAATAAGAATGAGTACTAAACTAGACTCAGGACTGTTGGAGACATGATGTGATAAAGGTAGTGTCACAAGTTAGTGGGAAAGAGATGGATAATGGTGCTCAGAAAATTAGGTTATTGTGTGTAAGGACAAAAATAAAGTTGGATGTAAAACAAAAACAAAAACAAACCCTAAAGTGTTTAAAGACCTAAATAATATGTAGCTTAATAAGTTAGTAAGGGAAAGACTGGGGATGTAACTCAGTGGAGATCCTGGGTTTGACTTCCCAATAGCAACAAATAATAAAATAATGCTAGTAGGAATACGTGATGAATGTTTTTGTGACCTTAAGGTGAAGATATAGTTCTTAAATATGATCTGAAATCATAATCTAGAAGACCTGGCGGCTTTGACTATTTCATAATGAAAGATTTTCTATTCAGCAAAATGGTCCATAGTGAAAGTTAAAGATGGGAATGAATTAGAAGAAAGTAACTGTCATGTCTGAAATGGACTAGGGATTGCATACATAAGGGAACGAAGAATTCTTGCAAATCAGGGAGAAAAAGATAGCAAAATAAAAATATGTAAATGAATAGGTAAAATCAGAAGAGAAATCCAGATGGCCAGTAAGTATATTGCCTTACTAGTAATTAACTAAAATTAAAACTTTACAGCTATTAGTTTAACAAAAATGAGCAGAGACTGACTTTCATGGAGAATGAAAACTCAGGGAGAATTTCAACTGATGTATCCATTGTGGAGTACAAAGAACAACACTTAACTGAAATTAAGTAAGATTTGGGAAGCAATATTGCATAGTTTTAAAGAGTGGGCTTTGGAGCTGTACTGCCTGAAAGTACCTGTCATCTATGTCATTTGCTAGCTGTGTGACCTTTGGCAAGCTGCTTAACTTCTCTATGCCTTAGTTTCTTCATCTGTGAAATAGAGATAATAGTCCCTACCTTATAGTTTTATTTCAAGCTTAGAATAGTGTTTGGAAGATAATGTCACAAAATCCCTAGCTATTAGTAGTACCATTTTCATCAAGTGTGGCAGCCAGAATCTAAGGTGGCTCCCTGATCCCTGCCCTCTGGTGTTTGAGCCTCGTGTAGGTTTCCTCCCACAATGAATAGGACTGGCTTGTGTCACCAGTAGGATGTATTGGTACTGTGTGCCTTCTGAGGCTGGGTCTTAAAAAAGACATAGAAGCATCTGCGTTATACTCTCGTGGACCACTTGGTTTGGAGGAAGCCAGGCTCCATGTCATGAGGACACGCAAGCAGTCTCATGACTGAGGGGCCCTATGGAAAGGTGTTGAGTCTCACCCAGAGCAGCACGCATGAGTGCCAGCCACCTGGGACGAGCCCCTCAGCTCTGTCCAGGCCTTCATATGCCTGTAGCCCTGACTGTCAACTTGACCACAGCCTGTCAAGATTGCTGAGCCAGACCACCAGCTCCAACTTCCTAACTCAAAGGAACTGTGAGGTAATAGATGCTTAATGTTTTTTAGAAAACATTATCTAGAGAGAATATTCACACTGTGAAACTCACCCCTTTAAAGTGTAAGATTCAGTGGTTTTTAGTATATCGCATAGGTGTGCAATCATCGCTACCATGGATTTTAAAATATTTCATCACCTTGTAGACATAAGAAATTGTACCCTTACCAGTCACTCCTGGTTGTCTCCTAACTTCCCCTGCAATGGACAATCACTAATCTACTTTCCATCTTTAGATTTGCCTATCTATAATATATGAATAGAGCTATCATACAGTGGGTGGTCCTTCGCGACTGGCTTTTACTTTACGTAAGTTTGTCCATGTTGTGACATGTATCTTACTTTATTCCTTTTTATGATACTCCTTTGTGTGGATGTATACATATATGAATAGAGCTATCATACAGTGGGTGGTCCTTCGCGACTGGCTTTTACTTTACGTAAGTTTGTCCATGTTGTGACATGTATCTTACTTTATTCCTTTTTATGATACTCCTTTGTGTGGATGTATACATTCTCTTTATCCATACATGACTTGATGGACACTTGAGTTTTAACTTTTTCAGTTATTAGGAATAGTGCTTCTATGAGCAATTCATGCAAGTTTTTAGATGCAAGTTTTCATTTTTCTTCAGAAGTGAAATTGTTAAGTTATATGTAATTTCATGTTTTAAACTTTTTGAGAAACTGCCACACTTCTAAAGAAAAGTTTTAGAGTTTTGATTTCTCTGCATTCTTACCAGTATTTTTTTTTTTTTTTTTTTTTTATTTGAGATGGGGGCTTGCTATGTAGTCCAAGTTAGCCTTGAACTCACTATGTAGCCCAGGGTGGTCTCAAACTCATGATCCTCCTGCATTAGTCTCCCAAGTGCTAGGATTACAGGCATGTACCTCCATGCCTGGTTTTATCTTTCTGATTATAGCCATCCTCATGGACATGAAGATTGTGGTTTTGATTTTCGTTTTCGTAATGGCTTAATGATGTTGAGTGTCTTTATATATCTTCTTAATTCAAATCCTTATCTCATTTGTCATATATACGAGGAACCAACTCACACACACATGCTTTTATGTGAAGAATTATTTGTGGGAACTTAGGGACGTAACTTAGTGGTAGACTGTTTGCCTAGTCTGTGCCATGTGTAAGGCCCCCAGATTTGATTCATACCACCAAAAAAAAAAAAAAAAGATTTAAAAGCTTCAAATGTTTTGGTGACAAATCCCTTACCAGATATGTGATTTGGACATATTTTCTCTCATTCCGTGAGTTGTTACTGTTATAAGCTGCTACAATACTTGGGGGGTAATTTGTATTTAGGGTAGTAATTTGTTTTTGAACAGTAAAAAATAATATATTAAATATGTATATGCATCAACGCAGTTCCACTTCTGGCTATAACCTTCAGAGAAACTTGCACAAATACTCAAGTAATTACATAGAAGGATATTCATGTGTAGTTTAGATAGCAAGAAGTACCTTAGTTATCATCGCTAAGGCAATACATACATTGTTTTTAAAAAGTCAGATGCATGCTGTTAGGAATTTATTGACATAGTAGACTCCAGGTGAAGAAGATAACGAACACTGAAATTTACAGCAAAAATTAGCTAATTGAACAAAACATTTTTTGGGGGGTTCTGGGAATTGAACTTAGGGCCTAATACCTATTACCACTGAGCCATACTTCTAGCCCACATTATTTTTTAAGAGAATCTACACCTTAACTCACTAGCATCTGTGGGAAGAAATCAAGTGGGACTAGAATGGAGAGTGAAGGGGGAAGGAAACCAAAGAGAGCCTGCAGGGAAGAACGTGCAGTGTGCTGTGAAAGACCTTCCATCAGCCCAGAAGCCAGGTCTTGCTGTGATGTAATTGACACGAGTTGCCGGTTACTTAGGGTCAACTAAACTGCTCGAGCAGACTCCAAAGAGAGGTTTTCTTACCCTCCTCACTCCTATAATGCTCAGCTAGTTTAGGTTGAAGTGGTGGTGGTGGTGGGGTGGGGGTGCAGTCTAGGAGGTCCATTAGGGACCAGGCTGATGCCAGCTTCAACTTGGTTTCCAAGGTTGGTCTGGGTGTTGTTATTTTAGTTGAGTGGAGCTTGGAGGACTGCTGCAGATGTTGTGGGCCAGCTCTAGAAGTGGCACACACTTCACTTATATTCCATTGGCTGGAACTTAGTCACATGGTTGTCCCCTAACACAAGGAGCCTGAGAAATATGTGTGCCCAAGAAGGGAAAAATAGATGTTGGACAGTTATTGTCTGTACTACAGTATATACTGCTCTGTTTTCAAGAAGAGACTATAGTATAGGGGAAACAGATTCTATTCCAGGTGAGTGCTATATTTGGTAGGCCTTGGTAAAAATGTATAAATTCTTTCTCTCTAGTTCCTTTGCCTTTAAATAAGATAAGAGCACATTCTGTAGGGCAGAGAGCCAAGAATGCCTAGCCTGTGGCTGACTCATTTCCTGAGCTGGCTACTAGATGGCAGTGTGGCACGCCTTTTCTTAACTAAAGAGAGCAGGGGCCTGGGTCTACACACACACTTTCCAAAATACTGATCTTAGTTTGTCTTAGGGATATGGTGGCTAAATTCAGTTGTGTATCTCCCCTCTTCCTGTCCCTGCCTTGGATCCAGAACACAATTCCGTCTCCAATATGGGAAAGATTCTCAAGAGAGACACCTAGTATTAGATTTGGATCAGAATTTCTCTTACTTGGGCTTTGGAAACTTTTCTGTACCTGGAAGACTGCTTTTCTTTTAATCGAAATTAAAGTTTCTTGCTCTCCTTCCTTTTATGTGCCTTCTTCACTACTGTCAGAGGAGAGAGTAGACTCAAAAGACAGTGAATGATACTGGAAAAATCCACTGAACTGTATTATTTAGAAGGCTGAACCTGAGCTGGGGGTGTGGTTCCAGTGGTAGAACTCCTGCCTGGCAAGCACAGGCCCTGAGTTCAAACCCCAATACCACCAAAACAAAACTAAACTAAACCTTATGTGAATTATATCTCAATTAAAAATAAAACAGTAACAACAGAAGAGCAGACACTCTGGCTTGGATAGAATATAATGAAATCAATGGTGGTGCTGACCTGTGAAGGCTTGGTCTTCAGGCTTGGTGCTTTCACTCATTGGTTCATTGATTAGAGGGTCTCCTAGAACACACTGATCTTTGTTGTTGTTTGTTTGTTTTTTGTCTTTTTGAGACAGCGTCACACTATATAGCCTAGGCTCACACTATGTAGCTTAGGCTGGCCTTGAACTCACAATCATCCTGCCTCAGCCTCCCAAGTACTGGGATAACAGGTGTATACCATCACACCCAGCTTGCCTCACTCCTTTCTAAAGAGGGTATCCACCCTTGCTCAGTTAGCTTCACAAGGCATGGATTCGGTGAGGATGTGCCTTGCAAAC